TCACTTCCCCTTCTTTATTTATTGCTTCTAAATGGGACAAGCTTTTTATAAAGACTGTGGGCTGCGTAAATGCAGATTTTTCATGGGTTGTATACATTTACGTAGCTCCACTGAGTTTGTGCTGATTTGCATCAGAGGACCTACCACTTAAACGTTCACCAATGAAGTAAAGAATCATGAGCGCCAATTAAGAAGCTGGTTATCGAGTTTACGTGATAGAATAGCCCCTCTCAGTAGTACAGTGGGACTTCCACACAGTCTGAACTTGTGGAATAAAGCTACGTGTTTATTAGCCCTTAAGTATTTTTCTTTGAATTTTGTTTTTATGGCATGCTCATACATAGATGCCTTCCTTATCTATAGTTAAGAAAACACACTGTGTCTGTTTCTGCTCTCACTGACATTAGTTTTTACACCGGTATAACACCATCGACTTCAATGGCATGACTTGTGTTTTGCTCCAGAGTAAATGAGAAGAGAATCAGCCCTGACACTTTTTTAGACCTTTGCTGATATTATTTACCCAACTGTTGATACTGTGCATTTGAATTCTCTTTCTCTGGTGATGCTTGGGTAGAGTATGCAGATAGCAACAAGTTTAAGGAATTAACAAGTTGATTCTGGATGGAACTAAGCTTTGATGCCGGCTGCTTTATAGCACTTGCTAACTCTGGATATCCGTGCTCCAAACACATCCACTGCTCTTGCAAAAGCTCCTGGATTTTTTTAACATATTGGCTTATAGGATCAGTGTCAGATGAATCCTGTTGGTCAGTGTGCCTTTCCTCTTCCATCAGGACTTGCTTTATGTCCTCAGCAGGACCCTTCTTCAAATCAGTCCCTGAATAGCTCTCTCCAGTTGGAGCAGGAGCAACACAGGACTCTGTATCATAGCTGCTTCTTTGGCTTTGATAGTTATCATGGATATGTTCATTTATTTGCAGCTCAGTGACGCATGATGTATGAACAGCAGGCTCAATATCTGTCTCAGTTCTTTTCTGTTTGTCCAAAAATGCAGTCCCTTTCTTTCTGATGCCAGCGTGAACATCTGCCAACCCCTGATCTGTATGAATTGGCATTTTACTTAGCTTTTCTACTTCCAGGTTCGTGTTGTCCACACTGCATCCTACAGATTTTGTAGAAACTGAGATATTTACATTGACACCTTTGTCTTGGGACTCCTTCAATCTGTCCATTCCTATGAGCTCAGTGTTCACTGCAGCATCGTGGTAAGGCAGGGCATTTCCATCCTGCTCACATGGCTTGGTTTCTTGGGTATTTTCCCGGCACAATTTCTCCTCTAGTTGAGCTTTTGAGCTTGCCAGTGTTTTAATGTTTCTCTCTTTTTCCTTGATCTCATCATCTTGCTGCTTTAGCACGAGTCTGATATGTTCAAGTTCCTGTGTCTTGGTGCTCAGTTGCTCCTCCAGAACAGCAATGTGTTGTTTCAGTGCTGTGACGGTGCTGAGTTCTACCATGCTGCAAACTGAAGATTCAAGACCCAAAAATTCCCCATTCTCCCTAGCCCAAACATTTCTATCTTCATTCTCCTCTGATATGCTTGGCATAACCTCATTTATGTTTAATTCTATTTCTTCATGGTTCTCATTTTCATCCAAAAGCTTGGGTGAGGATGATACATCCTTTACTAATTGTGCAAAGGTTTCCATTGCTGGCGTTTCACATTCTTCTCCTCCACTCTCCGTAACCATGAGCAGCTCCTGAACCGTGGCAGGTTGACTTGGCTGTGGAGACTGGATTTCCTTTCCCTCCTGAGGATGAGCTTCCGGTTGGTGATCCAACTCAGGAATAGTTTTTGCTTGCTCCCCAAGCTGCTTGCTTTGCGGCACAGCCTCTTTCATTTGCTGCTGTGCAATTCTTGTGTCTTTCGGGAGATTTACTGAAAGACTATCAGGACAGTTTGAATCCAGTGATTCTTTTGCAGGGCTAAAGGGGATTTCTGTAAAGCTCTTTCCATCACAAGGCTGAGGAAGTAACACCAACTGAGAAGGCTCAGAGCACTGACTTTCTTCCTCTATGTGTTTAGTTGGTGGGAGTGCGGCTGGCATGCTGGAAGCCCTCAACAGCTGGGGCCTCCCTCTACAGCCGGCAAGATCTTCTTCAGGACGCATGACCTCAGCTTGTCTGATTGTCTCAGCTAAAAGGGCCTTTCTTCTATAACTCTGCTCATCTGCGGGTGTTACAAATGGTGGCGATTCATTAGTTGTGACGAGGTGAATGGTTTCTTCTGCCCCTAATGATGTCTTCCTCTGGGCAAAGGCAGCCCAGCTCTTATTGGAAGAGGCAGCATATGCTCGGGACCCGTTCTCAGGCAGGCTGAAATTTCGAGGCAGCGTGCTGAATTTTGGCTGCTTGGCCTTCCTGTGAATATGGACCCTTCGGATAGTGTTCCCTTTCTCAATGTCATCCACGTATTTCAGGAAATCAAGGTCCAGGTGAAAGCCATATGGCGTTTCCACTGAATATGGGAGGCTTCTGGGTTGATCTGTATCCCCATCGGGTTTGGATGGCTGATCACCTGCTGAGGATAATAGAAGACGGTAAATTAAAAACATAATAATGTAAATAAATCCTGATATGTTCTCAGCGGGAAAGGAAAAATGCTCGGAATGAATCTACTTCCCTGTCCAAAGTCATCTGTCCCACATCAGCCCCAAGCCTGGGCTGGAGCTGAGGGGCGCAGTGCTGCCCAGGGTGTCTGTGGAATGAAAGAGCCGGTTGTTCGTTTGCTGATCCTGCCCTCTTGGATGAGTTAAAATAGCCTGAAGGGTAATTGTGAATTACAGTATCTGCCAGTGGCTTGATGGTGCCATTACAGAAGTGAAAGATCACTAGAAGCTCCCCTTCTTCTGGTAATGCCTTCTATACTGGCCCAGGGAGGTGGGGAGGTATAGGAGCTGTCAATCCAACCCTTTGGTGTTGGAGGATAGCCGGGTCACTAGTACTCCCCTCCACTTCCCCACCCCCATGCTGTGGTGATCCTTTATTGCTGCTCTGTGCAGGTGGCTTAGCACAAGACGGCTGCAGTGCAGCTGAGAGTCATGGCCCTCATCAGTATGCATGTTGCTGAAATGCTGGAAGTCACTTCAGGCAACACTGTAAGGCTGCCATACTAAATCACTGTGCTATTAGTTTGTATCTACAAGGGAAGGAGAGACGGAAGGGTTTGCCGTTTGTCATCTGAGATGCTAATGTTGAATCTGCTCAGAGACAGAGCCACAGAGTAATGCATACCAAACATATAATCTTGTTTTCTACAGCTGAATCATGTAATTGTTGCACTGAAGAAGCCAAAAATTGGCTAAACTCATGATTCTAATTGGCAATTATGCAAATAGCTGGCTTTGTAAGCTAAGCTACAAATTTGTCTAAGTATAAAAAGCTGCCTAATGCATGATAAATTCAGCTAAAACTACATGATGGAAACTAGCCAGGTTAGTTAAATATATTTAGTGGTTTTAGCCTCCTCAGCACCTTGAGGTCCACTACAAGTTGGACAAAGAGATTTCTGTGAACCTATAGACAAACATTATCACCCATATTATAAGGAATATTTCTAAAAGAAAATGCATTTGGCATGGCCAGGGTTAAATGGTGTAACTTAACTCTGTGCAGAACAAGAAAACTCTTTCTAAAGTCAAAGGACAAACTTCAGAAGAACATGTGTTTTAATTCTTCAGTTCAGGAAAGCCACAGTGCCATGAGATGTGTTCAGGGTGCAATAGCCACTTGTTTCCTTGCATAACCTTAGAGATACAGATGCAGCAGCAGAATCTTCCACTGAATATAAGTGGCTCTCATTAAAGTGGACACTTAACCCAGACTACTCAGTGGTCTCCTCTTGATAAAGAACATCCTGCACTGTATACTCAAACTTTCACCTCTCCTATAGATCTCTGCATGCTCTTATTTTCATGGGTACAAGTTATTAACATCAGAAAGGCAAATTGGTGAGCCTGAGCTTATACTAAAGGTCTTCTCCTAAAAAATACTATATTGATTAAAGCATCCTGTACTGATAGGCATCCAAGAGTGAAAGGGTTTGATCACTCTTCCCCTTTGCCATCTGCCTTGTACATGGGCAGCCAGGTCTAGCATTTTTAGACTCTTTTGTCTCCAAGATTTCCTAAGCCCTTTTCCAATAGCACTACAGAAATGCAGTCAGTCTAGGGTGGAAGCCAGCACACTGAAAACAGGGGAATGAGGAAGGGAAATACAACAGCGTAATGTGAAGCCAAAGACCTACTGGTTTGGAAAGCAGAAGAGGATCCTTATTGTCCACAGAGAAGAGACAAGATGTTGGTCTCTTGAGTCGTATCCGACAGCCCCAGCTACTGTGTGGTGCTCTGTCGTAAGCAATAAAACTATCATGCTTTTCCCCGTTCCAACTATCACAAACAGTCAAACCAACATGAGTGCAGGACATGCTGAACTGTATACAACCTACCCTTTTGTTCTTGAAATGGGTGTCCTTAATATATTTTGCTTACATTTTGAACAAATGTATACATTGGCCCCAGTACATACTTACACTATTTCTGGTAAGCAAACTATTTCACATTGCTTTAAACGACAAAATAGTTCCATTTAACAGCTTTTGAGGAAAAAATGCAGCCTCCATACCATTTGTTTCTTCCATATTGTGGAAGTTGATCCAATTGGGTCGTCAGTTAAACATTGTTAGATGAGTCAATAGGCCTTACTGCATCTAAAAAACAGAAGAGACATTTAGACAAAGGCTTAGCACTTACTACGAAGTTCAAGTATCCTTATGCCTCCACTTCCTGTCTGTCCTCGAGGCCCTCCATCTATCCGCAGGAAGTCTGACAATGACAGCAGTTTTTTCGTGGCTTAATAAAAGTCAGGTCTCCAGGCAGTGAAGCTGATATTAGTTACTGTACCTGGACTCTTACTTCAAGCTTTCTGTGGCCTGGCTATATTCAGAAAACACTTTCAAGCATATTTAAATAAGTACTTCCCCTCCTAATGGTAACTGTTTCTGTTTTATAAGTACATTACAATGACATCTTTCTTAAGTATTATAAAATGAGGCCTAACATTTCGGATCATTCCAAATGGAACAGAAGGAAAAGAGATGTCAAGGAAATTTGCTGTTAGATCCATGGTCGATAGCATATGAACTCTTTATCCAAAATACGTTGATTACTATGAGCTATAGTATGTCGTGTATATACTGCATAATATGTCATGTCCCGGTGAGAACTGCAAGGGGTTTAAACTATACAGAAAGGTGGCTGGTTTGTCATTTCTTTATGTGGAGTGACCGAAGGTTGAAAATTCACACTAAATGTCTGTAAGAGAAATCCCATTGCAGCTGCTCCTCGCTGAACGTCGTAGTTCTGTTCTTGAGGAATGCGACTTTAAGCGAAATGATGTTAAGTAAATCCAAATACGTCACAGTAGTTACCTACTAGCAGGCGGTGGCCAAACAACGTTATAACCGAACACTGCGCCACTTTAAACGAGGGTGTCCTCTAATAGATCAGCAACATAAAAAAAACACAACATTAACCGGGACGATGTTAAGTGAGGAGTACCTGTATTTTAGTGTATGACTGCATAGTAACTCTTTTCTAAATGGCTACAACACTGCTATATTTCTCCTGGAAAAAACACAACTCATAGCTATGCTCAGCTCTGACACTGTAACATGAATAGTATGATTCCCCATCCCAATTACTCCCCACTTTCTCGTATCCCAGGGCTGAGGGCAAGGGTACAGGGTCCCAGAAATCTCAAGAGAAGTCTGGATGTTGGGGCTGGAGACAGTTAAGAGGAGTCCGATAGGAAACCGCTGCTTTTCCTACGCTTGTCAGGTGGATCCAGGGCCCAGGCAGGAAAGGGTTGAGGAGGCTGAGGCAACTGGAGATCATCAGGCAACCCAGCCAGCTATTTGATAAATTGAACAGGAAAAGGAAGGTGAGGAACAGACTGGGGGGATTTCCCAGCTCACCCAATAAGGAGGTTGTATCCCATGTTTGGAGTTAAAACGCTCCTTTCTCTTTCTGAGCTGCATTTGTATCCTCTAAGGGGAAAAAAAGTATTCTTTATGGCCTGGGTTTGTCAGTGAGAAAAAAGGCACGGTAGCAGGCTAGAAATCTACTGCTGGCTAATTCCAGCGCCAGGACTTGCTGGGGTTCAACCCTGCTCCCAGATGACTGTATCTCTAATGGGACGTGGCTACGTAAGAGCTCCGGTCCCCACCTCCTGCTCATTGTAGGGAGAAGCACAGCAAACCCTAGCCATTCAGCGCAGGATTCAGTTCAAATTGTTCCTTAATCGCCTTTTTTCCCCTTAATGTTTTGCCTGTGTGCGGCCTTAAGCATTTGACCCAGATTTTTAAGTCTGTTAATAGACAGGCACCAGCCAGCTTCACTGGCTTATGACCCATGCTGTGCCAATCGCTCCGCTCATGCTAGCACCGTTCTCCTCTCTGCTGGGCCACTGTTCATGCAAAAGGTTTCTCCTGTGCAGCATCCACCATCCAGAACAACCTTCCTGTGTTTTCTTCCCTCGTTTAAATTCTCAGTGAACTTCCCATCTAGTTTTCCTGCTCTACTTGGTATCTATTAAACTTCTCTTCCTATGGGATTACTTTTGAGTGCAACTATATTCTTTATTCTAGGTTGAATGTAATAGGCCATCCAGAGAATGGGCTGGGTGCTGCTGGTATCCCTGTTTTAAAAGAATTTAAATGAAGTTGCCCAGATACACGGCCCTCAGCCGAGTGACCAGAGAAAGAGCTCGACATGTGCTGTAATATCCTACCAGGGAAGTTTTAAAAGATCTAAATGTTTGTACGAAACCACTATTAACTGGCACCAAAATTAGCACCGCAGTAAACAGGTCTATCATCGCATATAGGCAAGACAGCCTGCTCTGAGGATGGTAATATAAAGGCAACGTGAGTAGTCTTAAAAACTAGTCTAAAATTACTATCGTATTGATTTGTAACTGAATAGCAACACTGACAACCGACAGACAAGTCATTTATGGACCCTTTTTTAGTGCTGCAGAACTAGCTCACAACAGCATGTTTTTGCTGCATTTCAACCAATATACTCCTGATGTATTCCCTAATTAACTCAACTTTTTTTTTATGAAAGGCAACGACTGCTGTTTCTCCCTGCCAATACAAGCACGTGGCAAAATGAACATTAAACTCTTTCTCAAATGTTTTTATTTTACTTCCCAATTACAGGCAATTATGTAGTGATTATGGATCCTACCCACACTCAGAACAGTTCTGTTTCACTTTTTTGGATCATTTATTTAAAAAAAAATCCAATCAATAGGATGCTTTTAATATTTAGATAATTACAGCTAATTGGCTCATTTATTGGCTTAGTTCCACTTTGCTAGTCAAAGCTGATATTATTACTTTTCTCTTTTGACCAATCTATTTCAAAATCACCTCATAAAACACCATTGAATGTACCCTACCAGATTGCTGATGGACTTTCATTCCCTCCAGTGTCATTTGTATGTGGTCCTGATGGCTAACAGCCAACAATGTGGGTCCTATTACCCCTGCTGTCCGAACCAGTGCTCTCCTATGACTAGCTAGAATAAACACTAAAAAAAGAAAAGAAATTTGTCATAATAAAAGGGGCGAATTATGCAACTGGCTTTCACAATAGCCTCCAAACTGTCTCAAATCTAATTCTACCATATATTTTTTTTGGCAAGAGACCAATTAGGCGAAAACAAAATGCTATTTAATTTCCACTGAAATCTCAGGCAGGCTGATAAAAGTCCAACTGGTTTTAACACGCTGTCTGATAAGGGGGAGAAAGAGCCCTCACGTAACACTTCAATCTCTGCTCCATACAAAACTTGAGGGAAGTCAGATCCCGAGAAGAAAAATCTGGTAGCTGAAAAGGTCGGAAAAGGACAAATTCCAGCTGCGAATACGAGCGCCGGACACAATGCTGAGGCTGTGCAAGAGCCCAGCTGTGGGCCGTGCTACGCACCCTAAGACTGCGGCCATCCCTTGGCATGCCTGGATTCCCTTTGCCCTTACAACGGCGCAACCCAAATCTGCTCCTCGTGTATCGTGGTGCAAGCCTTCTGAAGAGCAGCTCCGGGGATTATAGATTAAGAAGGCTCATGCCACAGTAACAGTATGCTTGGCCTCTAATCTGGGGACTAATCCACCATCCAAAAGAAAGATTCCCACCCCACTGACTTTGGATCAGGTCCCTAGAGAAGCCATTTTGGGGCCTGAGAGACTATCTCGACTCAGTGCTTGTTTGCTAGCATAAGTAAGAAACTCATTTAAAGTGCATCCTTGTTCCTGAGAGGCAGGACTAAACTCAACAGCTCATTGCACATATGCTGCTGAACAGCTTCCAGCTTGGTAATGCCCTTCGGTTACTGCCAGCCTGGGTCAGATTTGGACTAATGACCTGGTTCTGCATTCTGTTCTCCCGAAATAATCTCGCCCCCTCCATCATGGATTTCAGAGGTTCAGTAAAGCCGGTTCCCCCCTTTAGTAAATACTGTATCCAGGCACCGTCAATATAATCAACGAATATACAATGACAAAAAGAACATTATGTCTAAACTTGTTAAACTGACCCTGTCTCAGGTTTTTGTATTTGCAGACTTTCCCTCTCTTGTACAAGGGGGAGGAACACTGTATTTTAATCTCCAGGCAGACAGCACATCAGCATAAATAGCATCTTTGATTTTCAGTTTTACTACAAAGAACAGCCCCAGGGAGGATGAATCCATATTTATATTAAAATACTTTTCACGAGGCAAGAATATGTGGAGAAATGGAAATAAAAAAGTCAGATATTTGACAAGGTAATAGTGTAGATTGAAGTACTTTCATTCCCTTGAGCAACCCATTTGGAATGACTGTGTACTGTCTTTTTAAAAAGCCAAGTCGCAAAGAGTATTTCTTTACAGTCTCATTTAACCCTTCATTTACTCTGCATCCCTTTGCATGACACAGTAAGACCCCCCCCGCCGCCGTCCCCATCAACAATAACAAAAGCAGTACCTTCTCTCCGCCTCCACAAGATTACAGCTGCAAATTAACTGAATCACAGAGACTAGTAGAGGTAATAGTCACTCTAGAAAAGGTTTCTGCTACTAGTTTTACATATTAGAAACATTTAACCCTGTGACTGTAAACAGAGTTCATTCCCGGTAAATCACACATTAACAAAATCTCATCAACTATATCACAACATTTTTGTCCTTGCCTGTCATTTTCTCCTGCATTGCAGTAGCTGGATTTTTAGCACTTCATTATGAAAGGAAAACTATCATTAAAAGAGTACATTGCCATGTTACCTTCTCATCCTCCCATCTACAAAAAGCCAGAGTACGGAAGAGCTTATCCCTTTTCACAAAGGTATCTTTTTCAGTGCTGAGAGGTAACAGTTATACGTTCAGAGCAGCAAATGTGTGTTTTCCAGCTGTTAAAAAAGTTGGTCAGCTGATCAGTGACCTTGCTTGAAAAGCAAATACAAGTTTAACTAAAACAGAAGGAGGGAGACAAAAGGTTCATTTTCTAGTAAGCTAAGCACAGTTCTTACTCTGAACCAAGCTTTTGAAGAAAGTTAAAGTCGGATCCAAAAATTTAGTTGCTTTCTATCAGCAGCACGTACAGTCTCCCGAAGCACTAAAGGCAAAATGCTGTCTAATCAACAACAGACTACATTTATCTTCTTTACCAAAAGGAGGATTATTTAAAAATCAGTCAATAATTAACTATGCAGTTCTCATTATATCTAATGCTTTGCACTGAAGTTCTTCCTAGATGACACAGACCTTTCTACTGAGCTTTGCTTTGCATTCTGCAGCTCGGCTATTTCAGACGCATCATTTACTCTACTTCGCGCTTCTCCCAACAAACATAAAAACAGTCGCCGTGATTAAAGGACAGAAGCTTTATTAGAAATTACAGGATGCCTCCACGTTAATAATTCATTTGCCTGAAATCCTCCCCCCACCCCCAATAACTTAATGAGTTATCTCAGAAAGATCTTATTAGGAATTCACTATTTTGTCTATGGTTTCATATTCCTCTAGTTACACCCATCAATTGGCTGTTCTGAGGAGCTGATGAAAAGGCAGTGAATCTATTTAACAGGACAGGAAAATCAGCAAAGCATCTGCTGTAATTACTGAACATACCACTCTATTGATTCAACACCCCAGTGAACTGCAGGTCATCATGTGGCAGCTGATAACTGCAGCAGAGACAGAGGACTTCTGGAGGAGCAAGCAAGAACCTCTTAAAATGCCCAGTAATTGAATGGAGGCACATTTAAAACTCTGATCATCCATCTCTTGTTGTCGCAGTTATTGTTAGCAGCAGCAGGATACAGTGGTAACCAAGGAGTGTCGTAGCATTGCTGTTCCCAGCGCTTAAGAAAAACTGTGCTGTGCTACCCAAAGGAAGGAAAGGTAAGGGAGGATCAATAAAGGCAGAAGAAAAGCAGTTAGTCTAAGTCATGCAGGCAAAATAAAATACTCAAACATTTTACCTTGGATTTATCAGTGCAGAAATCACAGTCAAAGCAGCATAAAACACTGAGGAAAGCAAAAGGTTTCAGAGATAAAAAGAAAGACCCAATGAGTAACTCTCCGGTCCTGAGATGCCATTGCAAGCATGTTAAAGGGAAAGATTCTTTTTCTAACCAACATTTGCAATAAAAAAATACAACTCCCCAAGTTCTGGGTAAGACATAGTTTGTAAATTGGAAAAGCACTGCAGTATGCATTATTCAGTGGGACATATTTTGCACCAACTGCTACTACAGCATCTGTTAAGATGAAACCAGAAAAACATTTTCTAGTGAAAATTGGATCTTTTGGATCCTGAGCTGTAACATAATTTTGGTTTTCAAATGGTCAGTTTTCATTTCCTAACACGCCTTTCAATATAGGCATGGTTCCTGTAACAGAAGCCCTACATATTGCTTTTTATACGGCTGAAAAAATTCCACGTCCCAAGAATGAGAGAGACAAAGCCCTCTCGGTTTGCACTGATGGACTTAAAAAATGAATCAGAGAAATAAAGGACTAGAGTGAGATTTAGCAACCTGTGCAGAGGAAAAGGAGGTTATGGTATGTAATTCATTACACTGCATTACCCCACAGTGATAATCACAGGTCATATATTTTGATTCTTTGTGCTCATTTTTAGTGACCCATGCTGGTTTAGCTGTGCTGGCCCAGAAGGGAGTTCATTCAAAGTTTCCCTACACTTGCTTCTACCTGTCCAGTCCTTGCTCACCTGAGTTAGTAGCAACCTGGCAGAGGCTGCTCTCCATAGTACTGTAAAGTAAAAGGTGTGTAACCCACACAAAGGAGTTAAGGGTACTTTTCTTGCTTGCCCATATGGACACAGAAGGCAAGTGATGTGCTTTAAGCTAACTAGTAGGAGTGTGTGAAGCAGGCCCTATTCAATTTGTATTCAGCCCAAATCAAGGCCAGTGATTCGATTAGTTGATTCGGATCACTGTCCCTGATTCAATTTGGCTGAATCCAAACCTGAAGATTCGATGCCAGTTTGAAGAATCAATGATTCAGACATAGACACAGCTTTAAAAGTTTTTCCTATATACCTTGAGGTTTGTGAATACTGTGATGCTGGGGTGGATGGAGCGTCCCACAGGAGTGCGGGGGGACCCCAGCAGGATCGGTAGCAAACCTGGAAGTGGACTGGAAGTACTTCCGGTCCACTTCCAGGTCTGCCGGGGAGCATGCTGGGCCCCCCCTACCCTGTGCCCCTGCTGCTCACCAATTGGCCATGGGGGGATGCCGGGTGCCCCCCTAGACCCAGGAGGCACCAGTTGCCGAACCGGGAAGGTATTGGGGGTGGGGGGGGCCCGCACACTCCTCGGCAGACCCAGAAGTGGACCAGAAGTGCTTCTGGTCCACTTCCAGGTTTGCTGCCGAGCATGTGGAGGTTCCTCCCGCACTCCTGCGGGACGCGTCATGTGCCAAATTTTTCCAAATCTCTCCAAATTGATTCAGAGGGTCCCGATTAGATTCGAAGAGATTAAAGGGTCCTCTGATTCAATTCAAATTTGGAGATTCAGCCACCAAATCGGGCCGAATCTCCACCAAATCGAATCTGGGACCAAAGCTTTGCACAGCCCTACTAACTAGGAAGGTGGGTCTGCCTATGGAGACTGGGAATGAAGTATGGAGGTTTTTTTGCAATCTGTCCTGAGTCAGAATGAACAAATTGTAAGAGTTTCAGTCAATACTTACGGGCTTCTAAGTGGCCCAAAGTCAAGTATTCACTCGTATCACAAAGCAGGCACCAGAGTGAATATTAATAGGTCTTCTCAGCAGGTTGACTAACGACTGCCTAGCACTGGAGCCTTTGGAGGAACGCGATTACCTTGTGGGGAAGATTTTCACCTTGCTGGGCCTAGACTGTGCATGCTTACAGGGCTACTTTTTCTCAGAACTGTGAATCCAGCCCCTCATAACCACCGTGTTAACTAAGGCACACAGGTAAAACAGTGGGCACTGCAAGTAAAATGTTGGGAATGTAATCAGCAGAAAGACAGACATGTCTGATCATAGCCTTCTCCTGCAAACCAAGCTACTTATGCTTCTTAAATCCTGTTGGAGCTCATGGAATATTTATGTTACTTCTGAAGGCGATGCTGATTGTGCTCACATCCTACCGGCGCAGCCAGGAAGGAATTTCACTCTCATTTCTGGATTCCTGTTTTTCTATTTGTGAACTTGCATAGCATGTTGGTTTAAATCCCCTGGTCTTGGCTTTTCTTATCGCACACCAAAAAAGGGAAAAGTCAGCAAAGGAAAAAAGAGAAAGAAAATAGTAGATTCAAGTACTTCAAGGCCTGAATATAGCTGACGAGATAGTAAAGCTGAAATTGAGCTACAGGCTGCCCATGAAAAAGTCGGTGTAGAAGGAAGATGAAAGAAGAAAGCTATTGTGATCTTTCTTCTGTCCTCATGTGTCCAGCAAAGCCTAAGAAACAGCAGGAGACAGGAGTGGCCAGAAGACATACTGGATTTAACACAACTCCTGGGTAGTCTCCATGGGTGGGTTCCAGATGCCGCTAAAGACAACGGCTTCAAGCTGCTTCCCCCCATCTGCTGGAAACCCAGAGGGAGAGCATGGAGGGCCCACACCACCTGCTCTGCCTTATGATGAGTCTGCTGCCAGGAAAAGAGGCCAGTCTGACGCAGAGAGATGTCATCTAAACCATCCTGTGCCAACTGTCTATGAGGAATCCAGTCCTTGGTGTTTCGAGTGCTACCAAAAATTGCTCTATCTAGGCGGTCTGCTTGATTACACAATAAACCAGCAGAGCTATTGTTGCAAGCAGACACACCAAGAATATGTATGGCCTCTCAGGGAATATTTGTTACACATATTTTCAATTCTATTTAGATATGCGGAGAAAAAAAATAATGCATTTCCAATCTGTTGAGTTCAGCAGCACAGGAGGGAAGTCAACTGTGCGGTAAACTCAGATGAGCTGAAGTACAGAACAATGCGCAGCCAGGGAGAGGCACGAACAGGAATTTCACTTCAGGGAGGAAGAAGAAAAAGCTTGAAACATAGTGTTGTTATGTAAAACACACTCTGGTTAGAAACAGCCCTTTGTTTTGACTGCAGGTTTTAAAAACTGGAAATACCTTAGTTTTTCTGCCTGAAAGTCATCTTCATCAATGTTGCTACTACGTACCACGTTCCAAAACGTACAAACAACCCGGGTTCCTTCTCTAGGACACTTCCAACCTAAGGCCCCTAGCCAACAAGTACTTACCCACATGCTTAAGATTACTTAAGAGACCATTACTTATGCTTAGGAGAATACCGTCAATAGCAGCACAAAATCAATGAAATTACTCCTGGTAGGAAGGTTAAGCAGGCATGTATGTGTCTGCAGGGCACACATGAAGATTATAAAGGGATGCAAGAAGATAACAAAATGAGATTCAACTTGGAAAAGCTCAAGCTGAAGAATATTAATCCATACATTTAGTGGGAGATAGAAACTCATTATCAGAAAAATAGCGGCCAACTGGAAGAAGTTCAAAGAAGAGTGACAAAAATATTTAGGAGGTTGAAGGAAAGTGCTTTCAAGGAAAGATTAAAAGGGTTATATTTAGCTAGGTATGACAAAGTGAGGGGATGTATATTTGGAAAGTATTTGGAAACTAAAGCTATGGCATGATTAAGCTACTCTGTTTCAGCGGTTGCATCCTACCAGTCACATCGATGCCCTATTTTGAGGAGTGGTACCTCTCTCGAAGGGTGAATTTCAGCCTTAAAGAATGCGATTTCCCAATGCCAGTACACAACATCAATGCACCTGGAGTTTCTGGTCACCTGTGAACGTACAGCGGCGTTCAGGACAGTAGTTTTAACCGTTGTGTTCTGCGCGCCTGGCACACGACTACTCTGCAATCCCAATCTCCACCACTGTGACTCAGGTGGCAGCCTCAGAGTAGAAGACATTCAGCTTGTACTTTTGGTACACTAGGTCCCAGAACTATTTACTTTCTGTAGA